AAAAAAATGTTAATACAACGTTTAAACACCCGATGTTGTTTATTTTTTTTTTCTAAAATATGTAGTACATTGTTTAAACACCCAAGCGTTCGTAAATGGTCTCTGTACAAGACAATAGGGTGTCTTATACTCCATTTCATACATAGTGTGCAACGCTGTCAAAGGTACTGAAGTGGTGCGCATAAAAAAATAGAAGAAAAAAATGCGTTACTCCGCGCGTTTCGTGAACGAGTGGTAGAAGGCACTGCTCTGGTGATACTGACCTCTCAGTGGCGGTGATATGAACCCACTTGACGCGCACGTAGTGTTTTTTTTTTTTTTTGACATAATTTTTGTGCAAGATTGTGCGCATTGCCGAACTGCATATTTCAATTCCTCCTTTCTTGCTTTTTATTTATAAGTCGCCGAGGAGCCAGATTGCTACCATCTGCTCTGCCGCTTTGCAAGTGTTATTTGCCTCCGGCACAGAGTTATATTTTTCTTTCGTGCAGTGTGGAATGAGGAATCGCCCTGATAGCAGCCTTGTCCCAAAATTTATAATAAGACATTCATCCACAGTAGTTGCAGCCTGTACAATTTATTTTGAAATAGCTGTCAAGGGTTGGAATCTCCCTCTCAGAGTACTTGCGAGGCACCTTCAGATGAATGGCGTGTGTGAACTCATCATGCTTGACGGTCCCCGTGCTCGAAACTTTCATTCCTTGTCTTCGCTTCGGGGACGCCACCTTTCCAGATAGGCACTGCGCCTTGCACTTAAACCAAAACTACAGTCTAAGTTTGAAATTTGACACCTTAAACCACTAGGCCCCCACCCAATTTTATTTCCAGGTTGTTTATCGAGTTATATGAATTTCGTTTGCAGCTGTCGGCTGCAAGAGAGATTGCCTTATTTTCATTTATTTTACTAGCCCCACCAAATATGACAATTGACAAAGAATAGAACCTCGTTTGGCGGCCGAGGCACTGTGCTTGCATCAAGGCAAACTAGCCTGGCTTGGTAGGCTTATATTTTGTTTCATCACCCGTTTAGCATTCTGTTGTCGCTAGGTACCCTTGGCAGTAAACTCTGCTAAATGGGGCAAAATATATATATTTTTTTAGCAAATATGCATTGTTTTAGCAAAATGAGCTACACTATTTCACGAAGGCGAAACAGAACGAGCCTCTCCACCTGGGTCTGTTTTTATCTCTTGCAGACACTATTTCCTGCTTTTTGTGGTTTGTATCAGACTTTTGTGTCTCTGTCCGGCCAAAGCATCTGTGTTAGATTAAGACTGGGTTCTTTAGGATATGTGCAGGTATTCTTCGCAGCAAATGGTTGCCAATCAGGAACACGAGTTCGCTCTCGGCCACCAAGAGCAAATAATTTAAATGTGGGCTATTACCCACCTATATAAGTTTTGTGCTTTATTCCTCTTGGATGCCATTTCCTATGTGTAGTGGTCTTGCATTAGTATTTTGTTGTCTCTCTTCTGCAAAAACACCCAAGTTTGACTAAGATCGAGTTCTTTCTTATACATGCAGGTCTTGGTGGCAAGCACCAGCCAATCAAGGCCAGAAGTTTGCTCTTTGCCGCTCATGGCAAGTGTTTTCAAGGTGAGTAATTGATGCCTATCCGAGTTATCTGTTTCATTCCTCAGAGACACTCTATTTCCTGTCTTTATAGTGGTCTTGTGTCAGGCTTTTGTGTCTCTGACCAACCAAAGCATCTGTGTTAGACTTTGCTCTTTAGGATATGTGCAGGTATTCTTCGCAGCAAATGGCTGCCAATCAGGAACACGAGTTTGTTCTCGGCCACCAAGAGCAAGTATTTTCAAGGCAAGCTATTGCCTGCCTATATTTTATTTATTTATTTATTATTTATTTATTTATTTGGTGATACTGCAAGCATTCTGTAGAACGCCGAGGCAGGAGGTGTACAAAAACAATATTCAAAAACAAGCGGAAGTAGTATAAACAAACAGGCAGAGCCACTACTCAACAAATTGCGACAGTAGTGCTTCACTAAAAGTATCTAATGATCTCAAATTTACAACACTTTCAGGAAGCTTATTGCACTCACACGTGGTTCTAGGAAAAAAGGATGCTTTGAACAAAGTGGTTCGACATAATGGTTCGAAGAGTGTTGATTGGTGTTTGCCTCTCGTGGCCCTTGTTTTTGTAAATGAAGTGTAATCACAGAGGCGCGTTCGCAAATTACCTTGTATCAGATTATAAAGAAACTTCAGCCGTTCTGTTTTTCTCCGGGTTGCTAAATCACTCAATCCCGATCTTGGGTACAAATCTGCAACGGATGACATAAAACCATAACGGTTGTACACAAACCGCAGTGCTTTTTTTGCACAGTCTCTAACATATCAATTGACAGCTTTGTATGAGGGTCCCATACAACACATGCATATTCTAGCATTGGTCTTATGATGGTTTTATAAGCAGTCAGTTTAGTTTCAGGTGAACACAGGTTAATATTTCGTTTCAAAAACCAGAGCTTCCGCATTGCTTTATGAGCCATAAACTCAATATGTGCACTCCATGACAAATCAGAGGTAATTAAAACTCCGACGTATTGATATTGTTTAACAGTCTCGAGTGGTACTCCATTGATAGAATATGTAAAAAACAAAGGGTTGTTCTTCCACGTCACGGCCATTTGAACACACTTTTTACAGTTCAGAACCATATTCCATTTTATGTACCATGCATGAACCAAAGATAGACAATAATTTATTTTTCTTGATCAGACAGGTTGTTTAGCTTAGCAAGTAAAACTCAATCATCAGCAAAAAATTGGCTTTGTACAATGGGGTGGTGTATCCTTAAATTGTTAATTAAAATTAAAAACAAAATCGGCCCAAGGACCGAGCCCTGGGGCACGCCCGAGAAAACGGGGAACTCGGGGGGGAAAAACAGAGCCAACACTAACATACTGCGTTTTGGGTTTTATTCCTCTTGGATGCCATTTCTTAAATGTAGTGGTCTTGCATTTGTATTTTGTTGTCTCTCTTCTGCAAAAACACCCAAGTTTAATTAAAACCGGGTTCCTTCATATACATGCAGGTCTTGGTGGCAAGCACCAGCCAATCAAGGCCAGAAGTTTGCAAGAAGAAGCCAAGAAGAAGCCATTGCAAAAATGTTGACTCGGAAGCACATTGGGAGGAAGCTTTACAAAAGTATCTACCTGCCTCTACAAGTGAAACCGAAACTAAGAATGTGGGTTCCATTTGAAAAAAAAGCAACATTGTCAGCCCGAATTAACTCGGGGACCGCACGGAGCAAACAAGGCACGGTGCGAGTATGCTTGGTTCAGGCTTTTGTGGGGGTGGTCGATGACTCGGGTATTTTCTAAAAAGTTTTTTTTTTCTAAAAGTGTGGAGGTCGAATATTCGGGGATGGGCCTTGAGCCGGGATGTTAAGGTAAAAATTTCATCCACATGCCAGGATTCATCTGCCTTGTCCCCCTAGCGAGGGGGACAAGGCCTTCAAAGTTTTAGGTTCGCAAAAGGGGTGCATCAGTATTGACGTTTTGTTTTACATCAGGCCTCTCATTTTAAAACCCACTATAGATTACATGCCTAAAATTCGTTTGGGTGTACTTCCTCCCAACAAGTACACGGTTCTGTCTCAAAAGGTCTAATCTGACGTTGACCGCACCTCAGGTCTCCACCGATGATTCATCAGGACGAGACCCAACCGGGACACTAGGGAGGAGCGGCTTAAGCAGGGGAGGCTACATATACGACAGCTTCTTGCGGACAAGAACCGAAAATAGATAGACGGTGGGTTTTTTCATTTGCTTTGCCTTTTGGCGTGCACATTATGTTTGTTATGTTTCAAGATTCCTGCAGAGTTCAATTTCAACTATTGTAAAATATCGAGCATGCACCCAGATCGCTGAAGCGCCTACCCTCTGATTCGAAACGATCCGCAACTAATCAAAGGGCATACCAGACACCCATCCACCTGTTTTCAGCAATGCTCAAAATATTAAAAGAGCATATCAAGCGCCAGGTGCTGTGGCGTCCTTGCCATAATGGCGCCGGTCGCAGAGCTGGCAGATCCGTGACTGGCACAAGCCATGGCATGGCCTTTGGGAACCAGGGAATCGAGATTAAAGAAGTAGCACAGAAATTCGAGGCGAGTGGTGGAGGTGAGCAGAGTTAACAAAAAACAAGGATGAAGGGAGTTCCGTTGCATGCGTGCCTGTAACTCTGAATGTGCTGTAGTTGGCTACTCAAAAAAAGTGTTACTTGGACGTAACTAATCGCAAATCTCTCTTGCAGTTTCCACGGCCCACAAGCCAGCAGGCGCCAGTTCTCGTTCAAAGGTGAGGATTCTAGATTTTCTAGATTGCTCTGAAGCAGCAATACTGCAGCCAGACAAGCGGTACGGCATATTTAATTGACAGAACTCAGAACGATTGGGTACGCTTTCACTGAAGCTTGTTTTGCTGCAATACATGTGTTACGGCATATTTAATTGACGGAGCTCAGAACGACTGGGGACGTCTCTCTGGCTTCAGTGTTGCTGTAGGCGAAAAAACATGTGCACGGTTTTCTCACAGGGGGCATATTATGTCGCGCACATGTAATTTTGAATTTATCCGGCTTAGTGTGCTGTAGGTGGCTGGTCAAAGAAATTGGTACTTGGATACAACTAATCGCAAATCTTTCCGGCAGTTTGCACGGCCTAAGAGCCAAAAGGTCCCAGTTTACTTTTCCTCAAAGGTGAGAATTCCAGATTCCCGAAGCAGGAATACTGAAGCCAGACGACTGGTACAGCATTTTTAATTGAAGGAGCTCGGAACGACTGGGGGCTTCTACATTGCAGCTTATTTTTCTGTAATACACGCGGGCGACATTGACATGTGCCCAGTTACGTCGCAAGAGGATATCTATGTCCCGCGCATGTAATTTTGGATCTTTCAGACTTAGTGTACTTTACGTGGCTACTCAAACTGCTACTTGGACGCAACTAACCGCAAATCTCTCTTCCAGTTTCCACGGCCTACAAGCAAGCAAGCACCAGTTCGTTTTTCCTCAAAGGTGAGCATTCCAGATACTCTAGTTAGGTGCGAAGCAGGAATAGTGAAGCCAGACGAGCGGATACGTATATTTATTTGACCGAGCTCAGAATGACCTGTGGCAGTGGCATTGAAGCTTATTTTTCCACAATCAAACACAGACATAATTTTGAATCTATCCGGCTTGGTGAAGTATTGCTACTTGTCGCAAACTAATCACAAATTTTTATTTTGCAGTTTCTATATGGCTACAGCTAGCAGGTGCTGTTTTCATTCAGGTAAGGATTTCACATTCTGTTTTCAAACATCAAGTTTTTGAATGAGAGTTCTAAACAATTTACTTTCTTATGCAGTAAATGCCAGATCCTCCAGTTCAGGAATATGTTAAATATATTTGGTATGGATAAGTCCAGTGTTTTGCTTCTTTATTCACAATTTGACAACAGCAACATTTTTTTAATTTATCACTCAGAAATACACACAAGAAGAGACTGCGTTGCAGAGAAATGTTGTGCTGAACGTGATATTCCAGCTCGTATATAGTTTTATTGGTAGCCGATATAATATATTGGATTCCAATATCCATAATACGCTGAGTATATTGGAATCGTAGACCCTTATTGGATCCCCATACGACACATGGGGATCCAATAAGGGTTTATACGGTATTGGATTCCAATATTTTCAGCGTATCATGGATATTGGAATCCCATTACAAATCCTTATTGTAATACAATACAATAAATGTAATGTTTTCCAATACACTGTCTATATTGTATTGCAATACAATAAAAAGATATTGTTTACCAATATCCATAATACGCTGTTTATATTGGGGTTTTCCAATAGGGAAGTAAAGCGTCCGTGTGACCCATCCTAATGACCATCAACGAACTGCCGGTCTTCTTGCAATGGAGGCACATTATGGTGAGTGCAATCTCATTCGCGAAAGAACACCCCCAATGCACTTCTTTCTGAGGCGTTTCACGAGTGAACTTAACCAGTTTGGAACTTTGGTGTGGAAGTATGGAGGTCGAACAGTGAGGTCACGTGTGTTTGCACTCTGCTGCTGTGTCGACTCTCCTGCTAGAGCAGCTGTCCTCAACAGGAAACAGTTCAATGGATTCTATGGCTGCTCCTGGTGTTTCCAGAAGGGTCCCCTTGTCGAAGGTACGTTACTAGAAAGTACATCAATGCATGTAGCAGTTATGTTGTAATTTGAGAACTACAATAGGAGTGACGAATCTGACTATCTGTTTTCCTCAAGAAGTGTTCGGGCGCTTCAAATAGTACTAATACTCAAGGAAAAGGATGCTAAAGACCCTTATAAATCAAAGTCTTTGGAGGTACAGGATACAAAACCAGTATTTATTCTTTCCAGCAAAACTAAATATAAATTTTTACACTGGAAGTGCGATATTATTATTATTTATTTATTTCCGAACGAAAACATACAGATACGTACGGGCCCGCAGAAGCACGAGGGTGCTTGTGGGCGGGTCCCGACAGCCAACAGAAGTCAAAATTATACAATATCAAAATGCAACTGCACATGCAACCGCACACATATTAAAACATAACGAAGTCTGCACTGAGACGCACGCACTGAACTAGTTAGTATGAGTAAGACACCAATATTTTAGGCATCTTTTAACAACACTGAATGACTGTAAACAAAATAGATCGTCAGGTAATTTATTAAAAAAGTATGGGACATAAAATGATCTTACTCTTTTTCCGTAATTCGTAAAAATCCTAGGCTGAACAAACCGCTCTGTTTTCCTTAGTGTTCTTTGCTTTTTTAATGGTACCTTGAATGTGTCGTTATAATAATGTTTTAGACAAACTACATAGATGTACAGTCGTTCAATGGAAAGAATTAGAAGAGACCTCATTCTTAAATCAGGATCTACACCGCTCCACCTTGTTCTGTACGCAATATTTTTGGACACATTGTGTAGAATATTATCTAATTTTGTTTTCTTGTAATTTGAACATGCTCCATATATCGTTATACCATAACGGAGCACCGATTCACCTAACGCTTGGTACACCTTCATCCGTAAACTTACGTCAGATACCATACGCAGATGAAACAAGTATGCGGAAACCACGCGAAAACGCTTCGCAAGGTAGTCTATGTGAGTGCCCCAGTTTAAAAATTTGTCGAAAAAAAGACCTAAACACTTTACAGATGACACATATTCTAAAGGTGTGCATTCACAGTCTCTGCAGTCAGACTCATGTAGCATTAAAGGCGTAGACAAATTTAATACTTTGTGAGGATTATGAAAATGCATTAGTTTCGTTTCGTCCGCGTTAACTAAGATTTGGTTAGCTCTGAACCAAGCCATCAACCCATGTATATAGCGTTGAAAATACGATAACGCTGTGGCTTCGTCATTACTTGCAAAAACCAGAACAGTGTCATCCGCGTACTGATATACCGTCGAAGAAAATGGTAGACTGCCCAGGTTATTTACATAAATATTAAAGAGAAGAGGACCGAGAATGGAACCTTGAGGGACGCCCGTACTAATTGGCAATAAATCGCTTTTAACGTCACAAATGCTTACCATTTGGTGACGGGCCGAGAGGTAGTCAGTTAAAAATTCAATAAAAGGGCCCCTAAAGCCAATGCGTAGTAATTTCTTTATCAGTATTTTGTGGTTAATTGAATCAAATGCCTTCGTTAGATCCAGAAAGAGAGCTAACACAAAGTTGTTGTTATCTATGTTCTTGTGGATATGGTCAGAGAGATCTTCCAATAACGTAATTGTTTCTCTATTTTTTCTCAACCCATACTGGGACGGGTATAACAGGGAGTATTTCTCACAGAATGAAGTCATTACGTTGAAAATGAACTTTTCCAGTATCAATGAAATCACGGGCAGGATAGAAATTGGTCTGTAGTTTGATATGACTTTACGGCTACCTTTCTTATAGATGGGCCGCACGACCGCGATCTTCAGGCCGTTGGGGATCTGACCAGTAGAAAGGCACGAATTGATTATCTTCAGAAGTACGTGCTTTAGGTGCTCAAAATTTGCCGATATATCTCTTAGGCGAATCCTATCAGCTCCTGGTGATTTGCCTGGAGCCATATTCTTGATAATTTTCACTAAGTCATCCTCTGTCATCTGTGTTAAATAAGCCGAGTTTCCGTACCCACTAACGGGGCTGGATGCAAAGTCCAGAACACCCCTCATTTGGGAGTGAAGATCTGACACGCTACGCACAAAAGTAGTATTAAATTTATTACTTAGTGAATTCAAATCGGTATCACTAAACGCTTTCTTAATTGTTTCATCTATGCTTTCTTTTTTCTTGTGGCCAGTTAGTTCCTGCACAGTTTGCCACGTTTTCTTCTGATTTTTTTGGTTTTGCTGCAAACGAGTGCTATAGTGCCTTTTCTTTGCTAGCCTTATTTCAGCAGTTATTTTATTCCGTAAGGTTCTAAACTCCGCTTTCAGTGCGCTGTTTGCTGGGTTAGCTTTCACTCGATTCCATAGTATATTCTTTTCATGGCACAATTCCATTATTTCTACAGTAATCCACGCATTTCTGCTTTTTCTTTGTTTTATTTTTATTTTTTTCTTACTGTTGTTATATATATATTCAAATTGAGCGACCATTGTTTGATATGCAGTGATATGATCCATGGTGAGTAAACTACTCCAGTCAAATTGCTTAATACAATTATGTATTTTTCTTCTGTCTAGAATCACGCTGTATTGATCAACCATGTCATCTTGCGGTGCGCCACAAAATGCTATAAAGGATACAAAATAGTGGTCTGCAATTTTTTGCTTAATTACTCCAGAGGCAAATTTTGCTTTATTTAGTCTCACAACTACATGATCAATCGCCGTACGTGTAAACCGATTACCAAGAAACTCTTCTCTTGTGCATTCGTGGTCAAGTTTTCTAATCCAAAACCTGATAACAGGTTCAGATAATTTGCAACTCCATTGTTCGCAACTTTCATTACATCGATGTTAAAATCGCCCGCGAACACTAGCTGGCTATCATTGCCAAACGTGTTTAGTAATCCTGCTAACTCGTCAAAAAATAAGGTAATATTCGAACTTGGCGGCCTGTGAAAAGCGCCAATGACGAATGAAATGTCCTGTCTTGATATAGCAGTGACCAGCACTTCAGCTTGAGTGAGAGATCTGGTTACTGGTTCACAGAACCAAGAACTTTTAACAAACATAAGTATTCCGCCCCCTCTTCTATTTTCTCTGCACAGTGAAAACGATTGAAACCAATCTAGAGAGTACAAGGAGACGTTTGATATGTTAGTATTAATTTCTGTTAAAATTAAAATATCCAAACTGTCAACATGATCGGCCAGAGAAACTAATAAATGATTCCAGTGTTTTTGTATACTTCTGATATTGATGTGTAACATATTTAGGGTTACCTTGGTGCTAGGAGATGCCACGATGGCTTCCTTCCAGTGGGTTTCCCACTCTGAAAACGTTTCAAACGACACTGACATTTCAAGCGATTTTCAATAAATCTTCCTGACGGTTATTGATGTGTAACATATTTAGGGTTACCTTGGTGCTAGGAGATGCCACGATGGCTTCCTTCCAGTGGGTTTCCCACTCTGAAAACGTTTCAAACGACACTGACATTTCAAGCGATTTTCAATAAATCTTCCTGACGGTTAATGCCCTATTTTCGCTCTGACGAACAAAAATTTTCCCGTTTTTGACCCATACATACTTGTAATTTTTCTCTTTAGCACACTGCCTCACACTCCAAAGCAGTTCCCTGACGTACTTAGTCAAGTTCTCATTAATGAATATTTTTTCTTGCCGGAGTGCCACTCGCTTCGTCAGCCACTGGTCCCTGGCAGAACGCTCGTTGAAACGTACAATAATAGGTGGAATTTTTCCTTCTCGAGCACTTAACCTATGTACAGCCTCGACATCCTCCGTCGTAGGTACAGGCAGTTGCAGTTTATTGGCGAGACACTGGATCATTTCAAGTAGATTCTCATTTTCCTTTTTTTGGATGTCGTGGATTTGTACATTTTTTCGTCTTGAGTACTGTTCCATGTTATCTACTGTTGTTTTAAGTTCACGGATTTCCATTTCTTGCTTCGACATTGCGGATTCCATCTTACTCACTTTTTTTAGTTCCAAAGTGGTGTCCTCTTGAGTTTTTACTTTTTTAAGAATTTCATCGTACTGTGACCCCAACATTTCCAATGATTCTTCAATTCCTTCTATTGTTTTTTCCTGCTGCGTAAGTTTTGCAATCACAGCATTGTGCTTGGCTGATTGCACCGCGATCGACTTCTCCATGAAATCAAGACGACCAAGTACTTCCGTCAGCTTTGAGCTCATGTCCAAAATCAGTTTTGCAATGTCCGGTTCATTCGGATTGCTCTGTTTTTGAGAAGGCTCTTGATCAGTTGAAGATTGCCGAGCGAAGTGCAATTTGCATGTAGAGCATTGCCAAGCAAGCATTCGCTCCTGAGAAAGCCCCTTCAGAGCAGTCTTATAAATCCCCGCACATTTCAAAATGTGATACCAGTGGTTATAGACGGAGCATTTCAGCCCCTGACCATCCAAACCTAGAGATTTTAGACACACAGTACACTCTCGATTCTCCGCGTCGTAAGGCATGTTGAAAAAGTGGGGCAGTCTAGCAGAGTATAAAATCACAGAAGCGCTTAAACCAAAACAGTACTTTACCTGCAAGAGCAGAACAGACTGGTTAGCACTCTTCGTACGCTCTGCTGGACTGCAACCCGCCGACTGAGAGTGATGCGCTGATATAGGATCCTGCTGCGGAAGTGACGCCCCTTGAGTTCCGGTCTGGAAGACCAAGCGTCCGAAGCAAACTTGCAAGCTCACTGCTTGCAGGCGCGTAGACGCCCCCCTCGGTCACGTAGGCACGAGGAAGGCCGCAGTACTTGTCGGGCAGGAAATCCTTAAGCCGATACCAGCGGTATTGTGGCTGCGATGACGCGTTGAAAACCGTCTCCTTATGTGGTGCACGAGTGCAATGCAGACTGAAGGAGCAGAAGCTGCAAGAGCAGAACAGACTGGTTAGCACTCTTCGTACGCTCTGCTGGACTGCAACCCGCCGTCTGAGAGTGATGCGCTGATATAGGATCCTGCTGCGGAAGTGACGCCCCTTGAGTTCCGGTCTGGAATACCAAGCGTCCGAAGCAAACTTGCAAGCTCACTGCTTGCAGGCGCGTAGACGCCCCCCTCGGTCATGTAGGCACGAGGAAGGCCGCAGTACTTGTCGGGCAGGAAATCCTTAAGCCGATACCAGCGGTATTGTGGCTGCGATGACGCGTTGAAAACCGTCTCTTTATGCGGTGCACGAGTGCAATGCAGACTGAAGGAGCAGAAGCTGCAAGAGCAGAACAGACTGGTTAGCACTCTTTGTACGCTCTGCTGGACTGCGAATTTTTATGACAAATTAAGAAGACACATGTATCATTATCTTCAAAGTAAACACAGTCATAAACCGAACTTGGCCATACTGCCCTGTTCAAAATGTAGTATGGTGCACAAAAGATGCCATGACAGAATGTGATGCATGGCATTACAAACAGAATTGTGAAGGGAGATGCTTGTGCTTGCTGTGACTGGACATTTCTAGAGTCTTTGTCCTTGCCACACAATTCTGGCATTGTAAAGCAATAATAATAATAAGTTATTATTTTTGTACATGCCCCCATTCCACATGATTCCACATGAGAGCACGTAAGGTTATGAATGCTTCGTCTCATAAAACACAGCCAGATGGAATAGCAGTAATTGCATTTTAGATTTTCAAATATTTTATTTTATGTAATCACGTCAATGCATATAGAGGAAAAGGAGAGAAGTCATGAGCCACCTACTGGGCAGCAGAGAAATGGCACACACAGTATATATGTAGGCTTATGAGCCCCAGCGTATGTAGTGGAAGCTAATGATGTCACATGCATAACGTGCAATGTATCTTTTTTGTTAATCATCTGTTGCGTGGGCGTGGACCTCTTGATATAATTTACTTGCAAATCTTGGGTTGTTTATTATAATTTTACGTAATAAAGGTATAGTAGTTAGCTAACTATGCATCTATACTGCCTTATATGAATAGCAGCGAAATTGTATTTCTACATTTTGATACTGCATGGAAACCATTTCTGGCATTTGGTGTATTTGACCACCGGTTGCAGCGACATGTCAGAATTACGCAAGAGGCATCTCCTGGCCTTATGGTTACCTTCTTCTGGCAACTTGCATCCTCATTAGTAATGCAGCTAGATTGCCATAACGGTCATATTTTTATTAATATCTGTGTAGTTTTCATGTGACATCATTATGGTCGCCGTGCCCAAAGGGTACTATTAGTACAGAGGAAGTTACTTTGGCGTGTGCCTTTTAATGCTGCTGTAGGTTGACCGCACGTGCACAGAATGCCATTTATGACTAGTTAAGTGTGTACCTCGCAATACTTTCATGAGAAATTATTGTTGCTTCCTGCAGAATGCGCACCTTTTAATTTGACTCCTATTTTTCGTTTCTAGGTATTGTAAAGAACCCCTTCAAGAAGGATGGAATGCTTGAGCACACTCATAAGACTGTGCTGCAACCAATGAAAGCTGCAGTCCGCCAAAGCAAGAGTGCAGTTGTTTATTGCACAAAAGGACTGTCTCCGGTTGCGGTGCTGCGTGCCTTGGACATGGTGTGGGGTGTGTCACCCGATTATATGCATTGTGTGTTAGAGGGCGTTGTGCCGCAGATGATGGAGCTATGGTTGTCAGCAAAAGGCACTGCTTGGTACATCGGCAGCAGCGTCCGCGACCTAGACAGCTGGTAGCCTGCTCATCAGCTCTCATCTGTCATTTAGAAGGCTCCCTAAGAGTGTCAGTGAGCGGTCCGTCTGGAAAGCAACCCAGTGGAAATATTGCTGTTGTGTTACGCCCTTCCCTGCCTTTAGGGCATTCTTCCTTGGAGTTTGTGTGACACCCGGGGTTGCTTTCCGAATCAGTGTTCTTGCGTCTTCAGAGAACAGTGCAAGTAGCTCATGTCACTTCCTGACATGAGCAACTTGCACAAACTGCTCGAGCAGTTTGTGGCTGACTTGGTTGCTCTTTATGGTAAAACTACAGGAACCTTTACTGTCCACCAGCTGTTGCACCTGTCAAGAAGTGTAGAAATGTTAGGCCCATGATGGGCAACGTCAAACTTCGTTTTCGAAGAGGGAAATGGCACAGTGCTGAGGTTGAATTCTGCTGCGAAAGGGGTGCCTCTGCAGGTAGCAGACAGGTTGGTAATGGAGGCAAGCCTTAATTCCGGTTCACGACTTGTCAGAATGCCAGGTCACCTAAAGAAAAGATGGGATGAGCTTTCGGCAAGAAAGCTAGGGGTATTCTACATGTGTACTTGGTAGTCCAGTACCCAGAGTGGCTCATCTTCCATTTCACATTCAGGACATGTTTGTCCATTTACTGGTATCTTGACCAACCTCGACAGAGTAGTTAAGAGCTCGCGTAAACAATGTTGTCATACACAGCTCGAAGTATAAGCGACCCGAGAAGACCTGCTCAAAGTATGTAAAAATGCGTGATGGGACATACTGCGAAGTGAAGCACATTTTTCCTTTTGATGGTCCTTCTATTACATTCGTTTGCCGAGAGCTCACAACATCAGACGGTAGGTTTGAAACAGCTCATTAGCGAATTTCCCGCCATCCTCCCCTAAATTAACAACTCTGTTTGTTTTTGAACACGATTTTTCTTCTCAGTGTGCATTTATTGAACAGTGCCTTGAGTCATACATTTCAGACGTGCCCAATTGTTATGAAAACAATTAAGTGCCAAGAATCTCAGGTCTCACATGTCCCGATGTGTTACTTTCCGAGTGCTTCTCCCTGGCCAGGTCGACCCCAGAAAGTATGCAGCGATGACTGGCTACTGCCACCTGGATGGCCATCTCTCACTTCAGGTTGTATTCCTTAAGGCTTAAAAGATAGGCTAACCACCTATCTTAAAGGGCATTGTGAGCCTAAAAGTGATGCCTAGTGTCACATTGGAAAGCTTGTAAGAAACGGATTTCATGACAAAATTAACTTGTATGTAACTCTTTCATATCAATTGAAATTTTTTCTGGTAAATTTGGGGGATCTCACAAGATCGGTATTTTTGTCTGGAAATCATTGTCACGTGAATTTTGTAGTATGCTTAATATAAAGTAAAGAACAATAAAAGCATTGGTGTTATAAAAATTTAGAGTACTGCAGGTGTGGGTACGATATACAGATATCGTCACATGATCCCAGTTGCGTTATGATACTTGTTTACCACTCTGTTTTTTACGCTCATTATAGCTATTGCTTCTTAGTATGGGGAACTACGACTGACAAATATCCAACAAATGCATATTCTCCAAAAAAGATTGATCCCTATAATATGCAACACATACGCCTATGATAGCCATACGAAACCATGGTTCGAAAAATTCAATATTGTGAAAGTTAACAACTACCATACAAAAAGTCCTTATGTCATAACCATTCATTCCTATCCGTCCCTGACCTTGAGTTCAGGAAAAAGACTAACTATACTCATCGGACAGATATATGGTCAGTACCACTCTCCAGGACCAGTTACGGCAACCAAATGTTGAGATGTACACTACCGCGCCTTTGAAATTGTTGTAGTAAATTGAACATAAACATTTTTATTAGGACTCGAAAAGAAGTGTGTGCTTTTTTTACGCGCTTTCATAAGTATTTCTCTGCATAGCTAGAGGATGAGGTGTGTGTACGGTTTAGATTATTTTCTCTTTGCTATCTTTGATACCTATATTGTTTGTTGCTAATTATGTTAATAATGTTATAGATATTATGTATGTGGGCTTTTCTCTATGCTGCTGTATGGGGGCAGAGGCTTGTCACGCAACACTGAGTTTTTTTTTCTCTGCCTCCCCTGTCCAAGTGGAGAGAAATAAAGAATTTGAATATGAACCAAATGGCATGAAATTACATAATTGAAGTAAATCCTGCATGTTGTAACATCTTTCCGGTGTACCAGCTCGCCTGGCAAATTCACCCAGTGGACTATATCGGTCATCGTGGCCTTGTTAGACGAACTGGTGGGCAAAACACACCAGGTTGGTGTGCACACTGAGTTGCCAAGTGGGCACACCAAGGGACTTTGGTGTCACATCAAACTCCGTGGTGTGCACACCAGGCTTCCTTGCGGGCCGATGAGCCCGTGTGGTACCACACCATACTCTCTTGGTGTGCCTACCAGGCTGGTGTGCGGCTACACCAGCATTTCTGGTGGGCACACCAGGCTATTGTGCGCGGTCATTGCTGGTGGGCACATCAGGCTTGTGTGCTCATTGCTTGTGGGCACACCAGGTCTTCCGGAGTAAAACTAGGATTCTCTGTCACACCAGGGTTTCCTGGTGTATTTGTCATCAGGGCTATGAAAAAATCGACTTTCTTCGCTAGATTTACGGGGAAAAATGATTTCACGTGACCTGAGCAGGAATTCAATTTCCCACTTAATTTAGCGGAAAAGTTGACTTCATGTGACCTCAACCCGAATTCAGTTTTTCCGCTTAATTTCGCGGGAAAAATGACACCACATGACCTGGTGTCACGACACCTATGAACAGATTTAGTTTATGCGATATATTTAGCGACAAAATTGACGTCACCTTACCTCCACAGCAATTCAATTCCCCGCTAAATTTCGTGGGGAATCCACTGGCTGTTGAGATCACGTGGCATATCATTTTCAGCTAAATTTAGCGGAGAAACTGTGGGAGGAGGTGATGGTATGGAGGAGAAGGAGGGGAGGGCACACAGGAGGAGTAGAGGAGGGTACAGAGGAGGAGGGAAGGTACGCAGGAGGAGAGGAGGGGAGAAGGCCGGGAGGAGGAGATGGTACAGAGGAGTAGGAGGGCATACCCTCCAATTCGTATTCTCTTCTCCTCCTCCTCAAGAGATGCGCTCTAATTTCGCATTACAGATTTGAAACGCTTTCCATTCGTATCAGGTTCAGTAAATTATTAAATAATATTAATGTATGTTTTTCGGCCACCCCTGCACATAATCTTATCTCAATATATTTAAAAAACCGACATGCGGTCTGTGCAATGAGCCATTGATCTCTTTCCATCATGATCATGCTATAAACCTATTTCGTTTTAGGTGAATTAGAAGTTGCTCAGCGAGGAGTCGTTTCATATGCATTCTCTGGTGCTGTTCAGCTTAAGCCGGAGCTTCAAGTCATGCATCAAAGCAGCAGCGCGAGTTTACAAAGACGAATGATTACAAGAGCTTGATCTTCGATTCTGACTGTGCTTCAGCTGCAGGGAAGCTCGAGAAACAATATCGTCGCTCAGAGAGCCATCCGCTCGCACTTTCAGTTTTGACGCTTACAGTCACTGACGTCCTAAGAAATGCAAGTTTTGTCTTACCTTTACGCTTTCTGCTTCGTGATTCGTCTTTGGTGTTCTTATACGCTGATGCTGCAACCTCATTAACTGCGGAGATAAAACAAAATTATTATCACTTGCCAGCCCTGCGTTTCTGCCAATGTATGTTCGCAAGTCCAGCCCGCCGCACGCCATCACACTGACGAACAAAGAAAGAGAACTGCGTAAGAGGCGGCGGAGGTGGAGGAAGAGACTTTCGGTCTTGGTGCTGCTGTTATGATCAGCGTGTTTGTGCATCATGCCGGATTTCACAAAAAACAAGTGCGTTAAAATATAAATTGCTGTGGTCCCGGAACCGGGATCTCTCATTCCATTAGAAACTTTTCGCAGATCGTGTACGCTGCTCATTTCGAGCACTGCGGTCGCCAGCACAATCTGTCAACAACGTGACTGAAAAAGCCGCAGCTAGTCGTGTAAAGTTCATGCGTACGATCTGCGAAATATTTATTGTTAGCAGAAAGAAGGAGAGAACCACTCGCGCAACGGTGTATCGAGCGATTGACATCGAGAATAGGCTCGGATTCTATATGCTGAAGAGCCGTGACACGAAACATAACACTTAGCTCCAAGCACTTCCAAAGGACCGACTAGGCGGACCCCCTTTCAGTTAATTACAAGGGAAATTGAGGAAATTCTTGTAGCATTTTTAAGGGAGTCTGTGTGGCGACCGTGAGTTGTGATTAGAACCGGAAGTTTTCGCGAGGCGCGTCTCGATGACGTGAATATTACGGTACTGATTTGTAGTAGATACTTGAATATTTCTTTTGTCACAGCAATAAATAAGAACCATGAAAACGCCAATGGCGTTATCATACCGTAATTCCATAGCGTTACCGCAGCCTGCCGTAGGCATGGGTACGTTTTTTGCTTGCGCTAAAAATCATCTTTCCAAGTTGCAGCGAGAACTTATAATCGCAAGGCCTAACCATACGGTAGCCTGCAACTACGCTATGCGTAGACTGCCTATCATTTTCCATGGCACAGGTTGATTACTTGTTCCAATGTACTATAAATCAGGGCGGTATGCGGTGAGCCTGTAACAGAGAGACGTACAGGAAATTAGAAAAAAGCTGTGGAATAGCGCCAAGGAAAATAGAGATAGAAGAGAAAAAGTGCAGCTAGTCTTCGACAAAATCAAAATCAATGGCAGTCTATTTGTTTGGGACGATATTAAGAACGATAAGATTCCTGTTCAAAAAAACGACCAAGCCAGCGCAAGCAAAGTCTCCCACGGAACCAACCTGCGAAACTAAAACTGATCAATCTAAACGCAAGAAGCTTGTTGAATAAAACTGTCCCTTTTGAATGCGTACTTCTTGATCACGAGCCTGACATTGTCACTGTCACAGAAACTTGGCTATCACCGTTTGTGCTTGATCATGAAGTTGTACCACCGAACTATGTTATCATAAGGAAAGACAGGCAGTCACGTGGAGGTGGCGTAGCCATAATCATTAAAAAAGGAATCGTTTTTACACGTTTGCCTGACGTACCTGACGTTGAGGCCGTTTTTTGCAAAGTCATGTTCGAAAAGAATGCGATATTTGTTGGTGCAGTTTATAGGAAACCTGGCACTGAGCTTGACAGCTTGACCGCGTTGCATGATTACATGTCTAGTCATCTTAAAGATTGCAAACTTATTTTGTCTGGCGATTTTAACCTGCCTGATATCAATTGGTTCACTCTTCAGTATGAGACAACCTGTTCTGACGCACTTTTTGACATTATGTTAAGTTTCAACCTAACGCAAATGGTTCACCAGCCTACACGTGTCGACGGAACAACTAGTAACGTTCTTGATCTGGTATTTTTTAGCGACCATCTTCCAGAAAGTGAAGTACAAATTGATGTTATAGACGGCATATCTGACCATAAAATTGTTGTCTGTTCTTTCCCAATTCGCGACACCATCCGCTTTTCTTCTCCATCATCTCTGCTTAACTTCAATAACGCCGACGACGCGAGCATACTATCTCATCTTTCCCATGAATTTTCTTTTTTTACGGAGTATGCCTCTAGCGATAACGTCAGCATTAACGATTTATGGAAAAAGTTCAGAGATATAGTTCATTACAGTGTTGCCAGATACATACCTACAAGAAAAAAGTTAACAAAGAAACACAATCCATGGATCAACCGCGATATCATCCATGCTAAGCGAAAGATTAAAAGAAAACGAAAGTCACTGAAAACAAAAGCATGCCCAGAGGGTAGACTTGCCCTTGCTGAATTGGTAAAAGTGCTAAAAAATAAAACTAAAGAAGCAAAAGAAAAGTATTACAACGTGACTCTTCATGAATTCTTAAAGAACTCTCCAACTAAATTCTGGAACCATGTTAATCCCAAAAAAACGAACTCTCCCAGTCTAAACCCTGAGGAGAGCCGAAATAAGGCAAATGAGTATAATAGTTACTTTCAGTCCGTTTTTACAGAAGATAATGGTACTATCCGTAATCTCGAACCTAACGCTATTGCTCTGGAGCCTCTGGTAATAACTGAACCCGGAATTTTAAACCTCTTACTTAACCTAGATACAAAAAAAGGCAGCGGTCCTGATAATATTCCTAACGCCTTCTTAAAACGATACGCTGAATGGATGAGCAAATACTTGTACATAATCTCTAATAAGTCTCTTAGCACGTGCCAGCTACCCGTTGAATGGAAAAAATGTAAAGTCATACCTATACACAAGTCAGGTGACATCAACAACCCCTCGAACTTTAGACCGATTTCTCTCACCTGTACTTGTTGTAAACTACTTGAACACATCATTCTAAAGCACATTACAACATTTCTTGATGCACACCAAATTCTTTCTCCTGAACAACATGGATTTAGAAGTGGTCTTTCAACAGTCACCCAACTCCTTGAAACTTTGCATGACGTGAGCCTAAGCATTAACAACAGAAAGCAAGTAGACATACTACTGCTTGATTTCTCGAAAGCATTTGATAAAGTTTCACACCCCAAGTTAATCATCAAGCTAAAACATGCTATTGGCGAAGGACCTATAGTCAGTTGGATTGATAACTACTTATCAAACCGTTCCCAGTTTGTGCAATATGGACAAGAGGCTTCGGAAACTGTCAGAGTTACCTCCGGCGTTCCGCAAGGTTCTGTCCTTGCGCCAGTTCTCTTCCTACTTTTCATTAATGATATTACAACTAACATTGATGCTAAAATTAGATTATTTGCAGATGATTGTATCATATACCGGGAAATCAACACATCGGATGATCACCTTGTACTAAATAGCTCTCTCCAGTTAATCAATAAATGGTGCGCTGATTGGCAGATGTCCCTCAACGTGAGCAAAACTGTTTGCATGTCTGTAACAAGAAAGAAATCTACCTCTGAATTTCAGTACGGCTTTGATGATGTAACGATTTCACGGATGACTCAGTGTAAATATTTAGGCTTATTTATTACTTCAGATTTAAGGTGGGATCTACACGTAAATCATGTAACGTCAGAGGCATTAAAAAA